TTTTACATAATTTCATTATGCCCAACAGTATCTTGCATAGGAAATTCAAAGGTTTTAGTTTTCACCAAAGATTAATTAAAACGATTAATATAGTTAGGGAAATGCTACTTAAATCACTGCAGGGCCATTTGAGTCAACTGCCATAGGACACTTTCCTGGGTGTGGCTAAGATGAGTATTTTCCATTGGATGAGTTCATCAAAGCTGACAACAGTTGACACAATTGGAATAAAAGTAAAATTCATAGCAGTGATGCATCTGTTTTCTTATAGGATATTCTAGAAGTTTTGTGAATACTCTAGTATACCCCTGAATGTGACAGTTTGTCCACAAAAACTATGTGCTCTTTATTTTCCAAAATCATAAGAATCCCCCATCAATCAGCCTGGTGACTGGAGCTGTTTTTCTGTCTTCTCTCATGGAGGCTCCCTTTGTGACCAGCAGTCCACATTTGTCCTATGTCAGCCTAGAAAGAGAGGTTCAGATTGTGACCTTGAAACAGAGTTTTTCTTGGTGTGACACTAACTATGTAGTCATAACCAGCTCTGTTGAAGGTACTGTAAATGTATGAGCTATGCTCTGCTGACTTTTACGGATTTTTGTCTGTCTGTGAAAATCTTGTATTTATAATATTGGAATACAAGGCTGAGACAGGCAGATTTATGATGTCAGTGTCTGAAGAAAATAACCATTAACATTACCACATTTGAGGGGAAGGTTGCATGTTTTCCAGAACAGTGAGATCTTTTATCCCCCATGTCATTGCTTTTGCTGTAGAAATAATGATATTCCAAGCAGAAAAGCAGTAAGAAAATATCTAAATGTAGACCTTCTCTTCTGGGCTTTTTGATCCTTGAATCTCTTCCAGCAGCATGGCAAATGGTGTTTAAAAATGTCGACACATTTTGGTTTGGAGTGGCAGGTGCTGTCTTGTCATATGGTGTTTTAAATTTTAGAATACAAAGACATTCTTTCATCAAGCACCCGAATTAATAGACTAGTAGCGTGTTTCCCAGCAAAGATATCCACAATTTATGTACTCAGTTCCAAAAGCTTGTTCTTTTAATAAGAACGTCAGATACTCAATACAGAACTCTGACTCAAAGTATATGAAAACATCTTTTAAACTGTAATGTTCTATCTACTTGCTGGATATTATTCACTAAACACCTTTATTAACTAATGAATTGCACTTTCAACAGTGCCACCAAAAGTCTGATGCCCTGAATGCTTGCCACAACACCAGCTGTGTTTTCTCCGCCTTATGAACAGAAACCCCGCAAAGTTTACAGGCTCATGGTTAAAAAAAAAAGCAGGGTTAACACAAGTTTGCTTATGTTTAAAATTGCTTATTTTCAATTTAGGTTTAAAAACATACCCCAAGTCATTTCAAATTTCAGGGTGTCTGAGTGTAACAGACAATTTTAAGAGAAAAGCTTATTTAATTACAAATAGAGTACTCTGAAAATGGAAAGTCTTCATTTTATTTATTACACTCAAATAGAGTAAAATAAATGTTCTAGATTTCTAATGTCCAAAGAAGATAGTTAACATTATACACTTTTCCAAGACAACAACCATTCATGGATTCAAAGAACTTCAGGGACTGGAATGGACCTTAAATATTACCTATTCCATACTACTTCCATCCAGAGACCAAATTCCCACTATAAACATCCCAGCTATGTGGTCCGATGGCCTCTGTCCAAACTCCTCCAGTTCTGAACACATTACTTCCCGAGGCTATGAGGTAAAGAAAGGGCCTCCTTAAGTTAAGTTGAAATGATGCCCCTGTACGTTTTCCATTTGTTTGTCTTAGGTCTCACCTCTGGAGCCACTGAGTACAGTTCTAATCCATTTCTCATATGACAGTGCTTCAGATATCTGGAAATAGCTACTCGGCCCCTTGTGTGTCTTCTCTTTTTCCATTTGAACATTCCCAGTTTCTTTGGTTGTTCATCATGTCACAGGGCTCCATGACCTTCACCCTCCTGTGGACACACTCCAGTTGTCAATATCTCTTGTTAATTCTGGTGCTCAAAACAAGTGCAATAGTCTAAGTGTACCCTGACCAGCACAGAGCACAGAAGGATAGAGCTTTCTTCCTTGTGAACAGAATATTAATATACTTCAAGAGCATTCTGGCTTATTGATAGCACGGTAACTTTCCAGCCTTGCACTGAGCTCATAGTTATGTCAGGTCTCCCTATTCTGTATTTGGGAGTTTGGTATTTCAAATCAAGTCTAAAACTTCTCATTTATTCATGTTAAATGTCATATTTATTACCTCATATCCTGCCAGCCTGTTATTTTTTGGATTCTGATTTTGTCACCTAACGCTTCTGCTCTCTCTCCCAGTTGAAGTAATTCAGTAATGGGCATAGCTCTTTGTGTATGCTTGTTACTAACCCTAAATACACTAACTTAGATGGTGATGGAAGATTTTTATTACTGTTCATAAGTCTGATTGAAGGATTTTGAAAATAGTAAAGGGAAAATGTGTAAATTCTTGTTCTTTAGAATTAATCCAATGAGATTAATCAGCCTTTAATTATGACCAACAGAAGCTAAAAAGCTCACTTATTTTTGCATGCTTATAAATGAAATCAATTTACTTATTTGGTTTTTCTGAGCAGATAAACCATTTTAGAGTATACATGATGATAAGATTTTGTGTTTGCTTCAGTCAGTCTGCTAATTCCAAGGCATCTGGGTATACAGTACAAAACACACAGTTATTTTAGAATTTAATGCAATTAGCTGCTCTAAGAGATACTGTGACATTGGAAATGTCATCACCTCCCAGCAGATTTAATGGGAACCAGGCGGGCAGGTTGCCGGCACCTGGATGCTTTTATGGCACACCTTCATAAAAGCATTTCCCTAAGTAAGAACACATCCTAAGTGTAGCTATTTAGCTTGGAATCACATAACAGATGGAGAACATATCACACTTTCCAAGTAAGTGAGAAAGCTGACATAACAGCTCTAACCACATTTTACCAAGATGTATCTGATGACTACGGAATAAAAAATGGTTCATTTTAAATATAAATGGTATGAGTTATTCCTGTCATGTGTATTAATGGTGTCTCTCAGCTGGAGTCCACACTAAATAAAGACTTAGAAAATGTCCAATTGATCCAATGGATCTAACCAAGCTAGAAAACTCCTACCAGATAACTTTAGCGTTGGCTGGATAATAGTATTACTTCCACCTCACATTTTGTCTTGGCATACAGTTATTACTTTGTTAATACTGATTTGGAAAATGGTAAAAAGGGTTTAGAAATCAACTTTATAAAGGAAACACAACCAATAAATATTTAACAAACTCAAACAGTTGTCTTGGTGATCTTGACTTGAAGTCTACAGAATCTCTATAAATGCCCTCATATTACAAAATTAAATCATAATCTTGCTGTAGAGAGCTTGAAATCCACGGGATTCTATGTGTATACAGAAAAACCAGACATTTATTTATTTTCTAAGTAGATATAGAATACTAAGTTAGTGATATTAATCTGCAATAACTAATAAGGCTCCATTATTTGAAACAAGGCACAGAGGGAACTCCTTTTTCCAAATTACTTTGTCTGCTTTCTTCATAGATTATTTAGCCTAAATAGAGTCTATGATATAGGCGATCAAGTGCGTAACTAAGAATGAATACTGAAAAACGTAAAATGTTATCATAAAGATTTGGTCAAAGTTTTTAAAAGACTGGAGAACTGTCATTAATGAAATTGGTTTGCTTAGAGGAAGAAAAAGTGAAAATGGGAACATTGACATTCAGTCTATGTTAGTAAAGCCACAGGAGCCAAGATTTCAAAAACAAATGTATTTGGTTACAACTTTGTCACATTAGGCAGTCTTCTTTGCCTCTACCATCCAGTTGCTATACTCCCTTAGGCCAAGATCTATAAATTCAGAGTCTGAACTATTTGTCTTGAAGAGACTGAGGGGAAGTGGGGCACAATGTCTACTCTTATGAATTACCCTTCATGAAATCATAGTTTGGAAGGGGACCAGGAAGTCATCTAGTTTACCCCCAAGAGATAAAATAATGATGCCCTTCATGGTTTACTCCTCAAATGGGATTCCCAACCAGTGATGAAGGGAGCTCACTACTCTTCCAGGACCCTGCTACATTTTATTTTAAACTCTATTATATGAAGAAAGTATAAACACAATTTGGCATTTTATAAATTTGTAAACATTCCTTCCAGTTGTATCATTGCTTTGGGCATTGATTACATTTGGTTATCAGGGAAATAATAAAGAGAACTAATTAAAGCAACCTATATTTTTAAGGTTAAAATGAACCTATTAAAAATGTTAGATTTAAAATCAGAACTTTGGACTTCTATAATAACTTTAATGTAAAATATTTTTTCTAACGAGGCCAGTAGAATTTTCTTTTCTCCCAGATTATGGATTTTTGTCCCAAATTAAAGTTGGAGAATCAAGTATTCTATTATTATAATTATTTATTTTATTGTATATCTGCTTATTTTACATATTTATTTTTTCAGTGCTTTTACAGTAACTGGCACACACACACACATATGCATATACACATGTACATTTTTTCCCCCCTGCAAATTAGATGACCTTGGGAAAAATGCCTTCAAGTCCAGGACACAGCTCGTATATTTAAATAATGCATGTTAATTTCTTTTTTCAACCAGTTGCCTATTTGTCTGACAAATTCATCCTTAAGGAAACCCCAAGAGGAAAGCGTATTAACGATTTTAATGTAACCAACTGAAATAAAATTCTTCATCAAATAGTCTTATTTTGTTGTTATCGTTGTTATTTTAGACATTAGGAGTCACGCGGTGCCATTCTGCAGTATGTCAAATATCACTTGCTGATGCTAATTACATCACAAGAATGCCATAAATATAATGATGAAAGTAACCCTTATCCGACATGGTCATTTCAATGTCAACGTCTACTTACCAAGTTTTCTGAAAGAAACTCACTGAACAACACACGTGGTTTTTTCTGTTTATTGTATAGTCATTCTAAGGTGGTGAGTGTCACAAAGTTAACTTTTAGAGGAAGAATATGGTCCAGTGTGAAACACAAGGTACAACATTTTACAAAAAAACAAAAGCACAAAGTGATGGAACTTTCAAAATTGTGTAGTTCAATGGAACATTTCATTGTTTAGCTCTATAAAACTCTGCTGATGGCCTATACTGATGGACTTTAAAACATAATGCTGTTTGAAACATTTTAACATCAAATGCTCTTAAGAGATGAATACACATACAAGCAACTCAAATTGTAAGCAGAAATTAGGTCACCCTGTTTATAAAAATTTTATCCGAATTTACAATATTCATAACGTATTTCAATGAAAGTAAAAAGTCCTTAGAACAAATAAACTCCATTCCTTGCTTGTTGGTGAATATAAACCCAAAAAACACATCACAAGAAAATTAACTTTCATAATTCTTTGCCTACAACCTTTCAGATACCCACTATCTTGGCTTCAAAAACATTTTGTGGCCATATATAATAAAAACACCCAAGTATTACATGCATCATGTATACTAGTTGGAATTTATCCATCATCTTTACTAAAACGAACCACATTTTAAAGACACTATATATCATGCACTCATAAAAATTATAGCTAGGGCCTCAGATTTCCTATCTTTTCCACATGCGTCACAGGCACAAAATTACAAATATTTTCAACTGACAGTATAACAAACTGCTTCAGGCAATTGGTACATTGAATTCGCTATATCTCTAATTTTCACACTGTACTTCTATGGAATTTCTCAATCAGATACAGCTGTCACTAACAAGCAGAATTAGAGACGCTAGCAAGGCTAATGCAAATACACATAAATGGGCAAATGTATGCATATATAGTAAATTCATTCCATTAACATTTTCAAGTGTGTATATATTTATATAGATATACACACACATATAACAAGTATAGTAAGGTTACTACTGAAAACATGTCAACAGTTTAGAATAGTGTTTTGAAAGAACATACAAAATTACCTTATAGGTTATCTGGCTTTGTCATTAAACTTACTTCAAATCAAATATAGTCTGGATTCTCTTCCATTTATGCTTCAATATAATACTCAACTACTCACAACTCTGTAAATCAGTATTCCATTTTTTAGTGAACACTGGTTGACAATCATTACATGTCATCAATACGCACACATTAGAGAAACATTAGTGATACTATTAAATCATTTTAACAATTGAATATTAAGACATAACAATATAAACATTAATGTGTGCTTATACTTAATACTTAAACACAATATTTATCTCAATTTCAAATTTTTCATTTATCTGGATTCCAATTTTTTAAAAAAATAAATCAGCATGTCTGATTATTTGGAACCATTTTGTCATACTAGTTAAGCGAACTACTTTTGAACTTAAACATGCCCCAACTAATAGGTCATATCTTAATATGACCTATTATAATTTAGGACATGAAGGCTTTACATGAAATTCCACAAGAGCCAGTAACTTACAAGGCTGTGTCACAAATACCATACTTTACTATTCATGGTCTACAAACATATACAAATACATAAGCACATCCACATACACACTGAGCCCTGCAAATTTACATAAACACCCACATACCTGTATAGATATATGGCCACATATGAAAAATTTAGTAGTCCAATAGCTAAAATACATGGAATTATTTTATTATTTTTCAGGAATATTAGTCTACGTTTTCATTCATTAGTATTAAGAAATCTGGGTTTTAGACTTTGTTGCTTTTAAAAGAAAAAAAAAAAGAACCCAATCATGTATAAATCTGCAGTGGATGCAACCAAAATATCCCTACTGGCTAACACAGGGAACACATATAGTACATAAATGCTGGTTCAGAAGGTTTTTAGAAGATACCACTTGATCTTTTAGTATTTAGATGAGCCAATATAAGAACACAGGAATGTATACAGATGGGTAAACCTGATACTTCTTAAAAACCTATGACAGTATAGAAACACTGTGGGTTTTTTCCCCCCACTTAATTGATTAAGCAAGACAAGAAACAAAGCATGTGGCTTTCAGAACCAGTCTTCTGAGTTCACACTGACCTTCACACTTGATATACTATTAGGTTTTTGCATTTCTAAAATGCTGAGAGCAGTGAAATATTTATCATATCTTTTTCTATAACGTCTAAGGAAAAAAGGTGAGCGCAAATGAAAAAGTATCAAACTTTTAACTAGAGCACAATGTCTTCACAGCACATTTAAGGTTTAACATAAGGACAAAAATCCATGGCTTTTGCTGGAGTTCTTTCCCGTTCAATGGAACACTTTTAAAATTCAGTGTCTAATTTTTCAAAAAACTTCTATAAGTAAGTTTTAAGTGTCTTTAAATCATCAATTTGGTTCCATCAATGAGCTGAAAAGTTCTGGTTTGTAGCTAAGGATTTTTTTATTTCTACTTTAGTATAATGGAATTACGTTCTGCATAGAAAGAGATTTCAAAGTCTATAAATGGTGTGCTATTTCAATCTCTGAGGGACTTTAGTTTCAAAAGTAAATGATATATATCGCCCCATGAACAGTCCTTTAATAAAAGTCATATGTTCAAAAGATTAAATGCTGTGGAATAGCATTTCCCTTGGAACTGCTTGAATGGAAAGTTGGCCATGATATCTATCGGCAATTAGTACAAGTCCAGTTTCTTTTTTCCGTGTCTAAACAAAGCCATGGGTTTCATATCAATTGGTAATATCTGCCACTTATCCAGAACAAATAGCATTTATCAGACCTCTCTAAGCAGTAGTCGTCCGTAAGATTGACAGCGCAGAGAAGTTAAAATTATTGGAATTTATTTTAGTTCTGGACCATCTGACCCCACCAGATTTAAGTTAACTGTTCCACTGCTTTCAATGCATTTTTGACAGTTCAGTCAAAGACATACTAATCTTTTATGGACTCAATTGTATGAAGTAACGTATTTTATGAAGACATAACTAGAACAGACACCACCACAGGCAACTTCACAGATGTTTACTGTTTCAGCTAAAACAAAGCAGTCTTTTGATCTCAGCAGGAGCCTCTGTTCATTTCTATTGGGAACAGTTTTAAAACCTGAAGTCTGGAACAGGTATTATTATGAATTGTTCTTTCAAGATGGAATGGTTCAGTTTGTGGTTCTCGAATAACCTGCCAGAGAAGTGTCTTTCTCTCCAACAGACAGGATAATGAGGCACTAATTACTATAAGCCTAAGTTTTCAAATGCTGTTAGAGTGCCTGGACTTTTTTTTCTTCTTTTGGAAGGAATATTTTATTCACTTGGAAAGTGAGATGGTAACATATGTAACTATAAACCAGATGGTAAAATTTGATAGTTGAGCAATTTATCAAGGAGATAAATTGATAACATTTAAAACAGTATATGACAACTGAATTTCTCTCCATCTTGAATCAAACATTTTGTTTTTAAATTCAATTTTCAAGTAAAATTTGAAAAAGACTCAAGTAAAAGCCTCCAAATGGCATAAAATACATTTTTAATTTATCACCTACTGAGATATGTCAAGTCTGTAGAAAATAAAAATCATGCTTCACAAGTCTTAAATTGTTAGTGTTTGAACTAGTAAAACTAAGTGATCACTAGGATATGGCTAAATACAACAGACCATACACATTAACTTTTAACATTCAGATTTTAAAATAATCATTTTATGTTTAAGCAAAGCTGACTATAATTTTTTAAAAAGAGGACTAGAAGAGCAGAATTAGTAGGTTAATGTTTAAAAATGGGTTATAATCATAGACTTACTTGGTTTAACACAAAAGGAGTTTTGCATATGAAAATTTCCAAAACATCAGCAAGATTCAGGATTTATCAAAATGGAGATTTGGATATTTTGGGCCTGATTTATATAGCACTATTTAAGAGAATTCTGCTTTTCAAATTGATTTTTTGGAAGAAGTCCAGACATGATTTTTTTAGGTCTGTGTGCTAAAAAAGAAAAAAGAAAAGAAAAAGATTTCTGGCTTTAGCTTTTACATATTTGAAAAATTACATATATGGCTATAGGGAGGAATTGTATAATTTATAGCAAAGCCACTGAACAAGTTCTTCATGTTGGTATATAGTTTAAGCTATAATCATGCTGTTTCCAATAAAAGATATTTAAAAAATAAAATTTACTTGACAACAGAAACAAGGAAAGTTCTTAATATCTAACATCAGAGTCTTCGTGAGATGTGTCCCTGACATGAGAGTTTTTCCTCCAATATGTTAACCCACAAAATGACAAGTAGCTTTGTCCACTGTCTAGAAAGAAAGAAAAATCTACTTGAATATTTTTATTATTTTGTAGTACCTTCAAAAAATCAGCAATCCAAATTTTAAAAAGAATACAACTTTAAGAAAAAATATGCCTGCTAATGACATTTTAATCTGCTTAACCAAAAGTATAGAAACATTGTATCTATGTGACTACTTATGATTAAAATGGAAACTCCATCTACAGAAATTATGGCTCTGTATTGCTACATCATTAGCATGTTCTTATACTCAATATTGGGTCCATGTATGAAATTCACCTAGAGCCAGGCCTCGCACAAAAATCTCAGCAACTAAGCAAGTTTGTGTTCAAGCTCCCTGATCAAATCAATGTAGGAGATCTAAAAAAAAAATCTCCTTCAAGGATTAACATCATGAATATAAAATGCCTGTATATTTACTCTTCTTTGATTTGGGCTTCATAATTTCAAGGTATGCAAAACTCTTTTGTGTATTTTGCTGTTAGATTTTTGCTTAGGAAATGTGAAACCTTCACGCAATCACAAACCATATACATTGCTCCATTGTTTCTTTTACACTGAGTCTCCTACTGAATCCAAATCATCCGAAGAGAGGGGGCGATACAGGTCCTGTAAGATGAAGGGCGGTATAGATTTGTTTACTTGGCTTTCTTGGGTGCCCTGTGGCTCTCTTAGGAGTGGAGCAACACTGAATGAGCATCCTTGGTTTGTAATGTCATTGGACCTTTTGGAGTTACCAAATTTGAACAGGAGGAAAGACTGTAATTGAGAAACCATCTAAATAGACACAGTGGTGCTTATTTTGCCTTATTGGCTTTATCTGCTTATGAGCTTTTGCCTTCTTTCCTGTTCAGTTGAGTTTTACAGTCCCTGAGGTCTGTCAATGCCAACTCTGCTACTATGTATCCACGCAATTCTTCCTTGAGTATTTCCTTCTCATTCTGGGTGCAAGAGGGATGTGCTTACCTTACAAAATAATTTATTAGGAGCCCCAGCTGGCATTCAGCAAATTCTGGTCCCAGAGCCTCAAGTCAAGTGTTGCATTTTCACATCACATAAGCCCAATAAACACTGCCTTTTCAAAATTTTATGTTTGGAAGACAGAAAGAATGCAAATTTGATCTCCCCGCTCCCTTCCCAAAGCTCTTCCCAGTTCCCCAACCACTCACCCATCACCAAACTCTTCTTTACTCCACCCCTTTCTGCTAGGAGATCTCTCTGTTGGTAGCCAGGCAACCAGCTCAGATCTGCAGAAAGTGTCTAGAATCCTGGCTTCTTTTCTAATTTGTACCACCCACTCCTCACATCATCTGACTGATCAGATAATCTACAAAGTCAGCGATGTGGGAGTATAATGGGGCGCTTCATTCAACCTACACAACACAACACATTTCTTCCTCACGTATTAAGAAAGGGGCCCCCAAAAAGTTCATGGATGGACAAGATCCTCCGACACCTGCTTCTGTGACCCGTCAAAAGCTTCTAGACAGCAACTTAAATAACAGTGTTTTGGAAAAAGAGGGAGGTTGCTTGGTCCATTGCCACTAATACTTTTATAAAGAAAAACATCTGGCATTCAGACTCTTATTGCATATGACTATTCGAAAATACCAAGAGAGATAACATAAAAATGTGATTTTAAGGTAAGGAAAAAAAGCTGATTAAATCATCATAATTAATAAAAATAAAACTATAAATTTTTGTTATTTGTAAAGAAAGCAGTCAAATGTCTCAACATTCCATTTAACCCCCCCCCACAACTTATGTTCCTGTGTTTTAAAATGAGGTAGGAAGTGTGAGTGTGTGTGTGCGGGCGCGTGCGTGTTGGGGGGGGACAGCCAACTCATTTTCCTGGCCATGTTGCTAGGCAACACAGAAGGAAAAATAGAAGTAGCTACTGTTTTCCAATTTGCAATAAAAAGAGTTAATTTATTCTTTGAAGTGTCTTCTTTTAGCACTTGCCATCTTTCACTTATTTCAGTATTTCCTGCATAGGAGTATAGCCAACCATTTGAGAGGAACATTAACCAAATTTGAAACAGGATCAGTTTTTAGAGAAATTCTAGGCCGATTTTAACTGGGAGGGCTTCTTTGATGCAACTGCCTCCACACCAAGATGAAAGCTCCTCTTGCTGAAGCAGCTGGGAGTGTCTCCACACAATGACATGGTACATGGATGGAGGATGTTCATTTATGGTCTAAATTCAAAAGCTGGGAAACTGAACTGTCTCTGAATTATCCACTGCTCTGCTCTGAATAACATGTGCTTAAAAAATGTTTTCAGATGATGATAAATGCTTTGTCTCCCTAAAACAAATGGGATTGTTTTCCCCTCTCAAGTACGGTGCTTGCATTGGTAGTTTAAACGACAAAACGAAGAATCTATAAGAGAAACATCCCTTATAAACATTTCCCAAGTGCTGGCAATGTCAATTTCATAAGCCATCAGCCACACAGCTGCTGGGAGCTGGATGGAAATTTTCTGCCTCAGTTGGACAAAATCATAGTGAAGGAGAGAATACAGAGGGCAGAAGAAGCAAATTCTAGCCTCATTCTGCCAACAAAGGGGCAGTTGAGCAAAGTGCTTTATAGCCCAAAGATGAAGGTCTCATAATAAGCAAGCAGGGCGAGAAGCTCAGATTCGTGGCAAGGATTCTCAGTCTCTCTCATTTAATCTCAACCACTAAGCATGAGCTACATCCTGAATGTGACTTTAATTAGCTCAAATGATGAAGAGGGATTTCTATGCCAGGTGCATTCTCCAAAGTACACACTTCAAAAGTGAGAACGTTCTATGAAAGAGGGCCCTATCTGTGCCATATCCTAATGGCGGCCCCTATGGATGGGGACCTTGTTGGGCAAAACTTACAAGGAAAGAATCACTCCACTACCGCTTCCTCCACTCAAGGATAGACATTTGGGAGAGTAAAGGAATTTGGTCAGTTCTTCTTTTAATAGTTCACTAATGATTGCAGTATTTGAAAATACCAGATTAGACTGTGGCCAAGAAGAAAACCATAGTGACAACATTCAGATGAAACTGGAATAAAATTATTGAGTTTTCTGCATGGAAAGAGCCTCTTTCTTTTTTCCAACTGAGGCCTGGAGAGGATAATAGACATATCTAAGATACCACAGCCATTTAGTGGAGGAGCTGGTGCCAAACCCCAGGCCTCATCAAATAATCTAAACAAGCTAAACCTGCTGCCAGGAGGATAGCGGAGAAAGACAATACAACCTGATAATTGGTGGGTGAGACTGCAAAGGGATTGGGGACTGACTGAGTTCCCTGCCCCAGACAGAGAGTGGTGTGTGGACACAACCTTGGCAAGAGGCTTGAAGAGAGAAGCCTCCATCTTGGATGCAGTTTTGACCGATGGAACTTAGAAGTCTCATTTTAAAACACATAGTAAAAGAAACCAAATTCCAGATGCCAGGCTTTGAGTTCAGAAGCCTCCAGGGAGCCCCTGCTGATTAAAATGTTCGATGAGCCCCATCATAAAGCCTCCTAAAAGCACATACTCCTCCCTCTGCACCTGGGAAATCTGGACAATGAAAGGCCTTCCATTTCCTCCACTGCACCTTCCCCCACCTTCCCTTCCCACTCCTTGTGTTCTTGCCCTGGTATTACTGGAAAAGACAAACAGTAAGGTTGTGAGAGGATAAGAAGAGTAGTTCTTCCATCCTGAAAGAATTGCTAATCCTCACCCCTCGCTTAGCATAGAGAAGCTAACACTGTCTCCAGTAACTGTTTGACTTTGGTCTCCAAGCTCAGTCAACTTCTTCGTTATTACACAAGAAGTTAAAAAATAAAGGCAAGTAGTAATGAAAGAGAAGGTGCTCGTGTGGGTTTCATTCACAAAAGCACATGGCACATGTACCCATTCCTTGTGCCATGGACTCCAAGCCACTCTGGACCACCACTCTATGCCATAAAGCAACTCCCCACCATGGCCCACCTGTCCAACAACGGCACTTTTCCTTTTCTTCTTAAGGAAGGCTGATGATCAGTGATAACATCTAATAAATCTTGTTACAACTAAGGAAGCTTAGAAAGCAGTGCCAATAAAGTTGTCGTGCATTCAGGACAAAAAGAGTGGGGTATTTAACAGGGAAGCAGCAACTGTTTATTTTTCTCAGAGTTAAGATTTGGACAAGTTTACAGAGAAATTAAGAGCCCTGAGTTACAGCAAGTGAAACCACAGCCATAATAAGTGACCTGCCGTTGGTCACCACCTGCCCTTGCTTGATTATTACACTTAGAGTCAAGCAGCCTGATTATGAGAGAGACATTTGCTGGCACCTGTGCCATTCTGCACCACGGCTCAGACCCGTCTTAAACAAAGAGCTTGCTTTATCTCCTTACCCTCTGCTTCCGCAGGCTTCCTGGGCTGGTGGGTGATGGGCTTGGTGATTTGCCCGAGCGCGGAGTAGAGAGCTGACTACCAGGAGTTCCATTAACTAGAAGAACAAAGAATCACAGAGACAAAAAAATGGCATGTTAAAGAATTTTCACGACAAATAATCTCTCCAGAAAAACAAACAACTGTGGAGGGACATTTGCTAAAATTCCAGACAGCTTTTCATCTGTAGTCCTGAAAAAAAGCTTTGGGGAATAACCTTCTTTAGAAATTCACTGTTTTGTTAATCCTGTGTTTAACAGAGCAGCAGCTTACATAAAGATTTTTTAAAATGTACTTTACACAACTTTCCTGATGAATTTATTAATGATGTCTTTAATAGCACCAATAGAGATTTGAGGCACGTGATTGAGGTCCTGAGACATTTTCAATGGGATTCACCCTTAATTTTTTGGTTTAGCTTCCCAGTACCACATAGTAGGAGTAAATATTAGCATAGCTCACGAGTGATATTCCCCGTGTCTTGTTAAAAAGATCGTTGTCCTCACTTCTAGAAGTTCCTGCATTCACTTGTGCCCTGTACATCCCCCTAGCCTAACTCTGAAGGACCTGCCGTAAACAGGACAAAGTAATTGGTGCAGACGCTCAGGAACTCCTCACAATCTGTCTTTGCTGCTACTCTAAAGAAAAGCTGCTCTTTAATAGGTTTAAATCACTGGAATTCTACCCGACTCTCCAGACTTTTACACAAGATTATCACTAAACGGAATCAAAGCCACACAACTCAAGTAAGCAACTCTTTTGTCTGAGTAACAACATCGAACACTTAAAGACATGACTTGATAAAGACATATAAGATCACCATTATTTTACCTGTAAAAATGACAACATTTTTATATGTTTTACATCCACAGTCAGTGAAGTAGAATTAGCAATGAGACACACACATTCTCAAGGATGCATAAGAAACATTTTCCACGAGGGAGAGCGATAATGGATTGAACTTACCTTCTATGAGTTCTAACATGGACACAGTCTTAGTGTTAAACCTGACAATAGCAAGAGGCGAAATCCCTTCTGAGCACTAAGCCAAGGACCCGCGGAAACGGGAAGCGTTTGGATTAGCTAAGGATGGCTAAGGCTGCTCCCAGAGCAGGCTGAATGAGATGCAGGATTCACCAGCAGATGCCTTCTCTGCGTAAGGCTGACGTCTTCTAAGCAGCAGTGGGAGGTGCGGGTTCTGTCTTAGGCTACATCAAAGGTGTCAATTAAGCCTCATGCCAACTCGGAGCCACTGCAACCCCCACCAGACACCACTAACTCCCGGAAGCCCAAGCCCTTTCAGTACTTTGCACTGAATCATAATGAAGTGCCTCTGGGGGCAAGAGACCCAGTGACTCATCTGAAAATCAAAATGACAATAACTCTTGCAAAGCCTGGTGACTACCGGGGAATAAGTACACCCTCACAAAATTCAGTGGCAAGGTACAACGTTTATTGATTTTCCACACACAACATTTGCACAAAAACTGAGGGCCCATGAAAGTGGGAAGCTCCTTGTTCTGTCACCTTTTTCAAAGATCTTCAAAACATGTCACATAACCCATACTGCACTAATTTGTAATTTTGTCTCTCAAACGTATTTGGTGACTCCTTCTGAAAAAAAAACAGCAACAACTATTTTTTGGCAGATTCAAGTAGGAAGCACTGTGAATGCTTTAGTTCGCTTGCATTCTACAGTCCTGTCTTTGCTGAATGAGCTTGATGCTCAGGCCTCTTGATACTGAACTTCCCAGCCAGTGGCCTGTATGGGAAGGGCTCTGAAATAGGCAAGAACTGTGGGCAGAGGCAGAATCTACAACTAATACGGCAAGAGGTTCCCTACGAGTTGACTGGAACACAATTTTTATGAATGTAACATTTTCTTTGCCCACTTTTATTCTGCCTTATGTCTTTACACCACACATAAAGGCTACACAGATTGGGAAAAAATGAGCAAATGGGGAAGCAAACACTGTATTAACATTTTTTACTTTGGGGACTCTAATCTTATCAAGCCAATGAAAAATAAAGAAAAAGAGAAAGTGGACTCCCAGGAAAACAGTCTTAGGAATACCTTGCTTAAAAAAGCAAAACAAAACAACAAAAAGCCTGCATTTAGTAAGTTCTCGTTATGTGTGCATCTCAGTTTGCTGGAGTTATTTTCTATGGACCAGTTAATGCACTTAAACTTACATACATATATTTAACACGCAAACACATATATGTGCATACACACACACTCGCATATTATCTCATTTAACACTCACAATAACTCTGTGAGGGAGGAAGTATTATTTTATAGATGAGGAAACTGAGGCATGAAGATGATAAGCAACTTAACCAGCAAATGCGGGGCAGAGCCCAAAATCTAACCTAGGTAATGGAAACCTGTAGTCTTTACTGTCTTCCCTTCCCTTGCCAGCCTTCTAGCCTGTAGGGAAATCAGATAACTAAACTAGTAATCACAATAAAGTATTTAGAGAGGGGAAGTATTGGGTTTTGCTATTGGAATTCTAACAACTTATGGGGTCAAGGTTGGCCTCCATCCTACAGAGAGGTTAAGAGGTAATGGAGCCAGAACCTAAGCATTAGTAGGAGTTCTCTAGGTGAAACAGGGAAGGGCACAATGAAGGAAAAGTATTTCAGGTTGAGGGGACCAGCTGTTTCATGGCTGGGCACGGAGGAGGGAGCAAGTGTGGTGCTTTGAAGAGACCTAAGTAAGTTAGCGTAGCAGATAAGTGGAGTTGGAGAGAAAGAGCCTTATGAATGAGGATGGAGAGTAGACAGGGGTTGCATAATGCAGGGCTTCAAAATTCATGTTAAGGAGTCTGGTTTTTATCCAAAGGGCAATGATAAAGCTATTGAACGATTTTAAGCAGGACCTAGGGGATCAGATTTGCATTTTAAAAAGCTCTCAAGAGCTCTTGTTCTGTCAAGAATGGATTAGAGAACAATAATGTGTGCAAGGATATCCCTTAGGAGAATGTCTAGGGAAGAAAGAGGGTGGCACATGTAAGGGTCCTGTGGTCAGAGAGATAGAGTAGCTGAGTCTAGGGTGGTGCAGTGGGGGCGGAGGTCAATGGAAACATTCCAGAGAGATTTAAGAGAGAAAACCATAGGAAGTGGCAACTGATTGGTTGAAGAGGATTAAGGCTAGCAAGAGAGCAGGCTTGGAAGGACATAGAGAGTTGGGCCATGTTAAACTGAAGCATCTTATGTGACATCAATTCTGCAATGTCTGTGCCCTGATACATCTAACCAGAAAAAAAAGACAAAAAATTCTGCATTGTAGGTTGGTGTAATTTTTCCTGTTTTAGATGAGGAAACTGAGGTTCAAAAAAGTAACTTTCCCAAAGTCAAACAGCCTGAAGGTGGCAGAACCAGAAAGGGATCTCACTTATGTCTTATTCAAAGAACTGCACGCTTTTCCCATGAGTGGCCTGTCCTGGCACCTCAGGACATGTCCAGGACTCTTGTCTTCTGTCTACAGTCCTTAGACAGCTAGGTTTCTCTATCACTGGGGCACTCTGGCCTGTCTCCTTTATTTAAAGCCACCGGGCTCAAGGCTTCCACTTGTGTTGCCGTCTCGTGGAAAAATAAAGCTCAAGTGCCAGACAAGTCATCTACATTCAAACATTTTTGGAACATAACCTGCTTGAAAGTTGGCAATGGCTGGTATTCTTAGGATCAGAGTTCTGTTCAGACTCTTCCACTTGGCCAAGTGAAAAGCATTAGTGACTTCTTAAAATGGTTCTCGACTTCCAGAAAACATCACACACCTTATTGTTGAATCACTGCTGGAATAAAGAATTATATTTCATAAGTAAGTTTGATATGTATTGAGTTCAGTTGTTTTTTATCCTGTAATACCAGAAGTCCCTCAGAGCCAATAAAAAGGGCCTTGTCACTTATTTAACAGAACTTATTAAAATTCAACTGACAAATGGTATTACTTTACAGAGGCCTTTATTAAACAATTCTTTATCTTGAAGGAGGAAAATTCAACTTAACATGGTTGTTGTTAAGTGGCCAAGCAGATCTAACCATTAATTATTTCAATCTGAATTCATTAAACTCTGAATACTAAAGTACTTTCAGATCCACTGCCTTATATCTAGTTCTGATTTCCTTTGCTCAGATCTGTCTGGGTACATTTTCCTTAAATCCTGCATGCCTTGCTCTGCTTATTACCTCCTGAATGAGAAGCGCTACGCTTAGGCTGGATTATTCACAGATTCCATGATGATCAATTATATAATTGGCCCCCAAAGGGCTGTGGAAGAACTCTGCAGAGCTCGCTCCTTTCATCCCTAATCCACACCCCTCTCTTTTTCAACTCTCCATCACCTAAGCCTGTCAGGGACACAACAGCATGAATGGGTCACAGCACATAGCCCCTCATGAAGGATCCAGTCTCATCTTTTCCTTCATCATTTTAGATGGATGATCCTACTATATTTACTCATTGGAGGCTGAATTCAGGGTTCTATAATCAACCAGTCAGTACACACAGTGTACATTCACTATGCGCCTGACTCTGTCCATTGGTCCCTGTGTCCCAAAAGCTTATAACTGAATATGAAGGTTACCAAAACATTCTAGAGTTTGGAACTACTAATTTATTGCTCCTTTTAGCTGACTTTAGTCTCATGTGTGCATGTTAATTTAGCAACCCCTTTGTGAAGATATAGGGTTTCTTCTCAAGAGTCTCAGACATCAAGTGAAAGCTAACAAATGTCCCAAACTGATACTGAAATCAGAGGAATCTCCAAGTAAGACGATCTAATTGCCAGGTGAGTGACTTTTTGGACGTGAAAATCCACCTTGCCATTTCCCAATTTTCTTTCTGCACCGAAGGTGACTAGTCCATTTGTGATGCTCCACCACAGGGATGAGAGGAGGGAATGTGTCTGCATGTATCTGGGTGTCCATTTGTGTGTCCAGGGGCTGCCGATTCAGGCATGTTGCTGAGGAGATCTAGCTGCTGGCCTTAGACTTTCCCTCACTCCCTGATCATGGAGGAAGCTTTAAATACCGTACAGTCTCTTTTCTCAGCCC